TTTTGCTAGATCTAGTTGGGGCATGTCCCAACATTTCTAGTCAGTTTAGAGGCTTATTTCAGACATAGTTAGATTCAGCTTAGTATTTTGAGTTTGATATTTCTTTTGTATTAAACTCTCAGATTTGATATATTCAGCTATAGTATATGGGTATTCCCCATCTTTTCAGATTTATTTATGATTTAGCTTCCGCATCAGTTTATTATCTTTAGTATGCTCATGATCATGCCAACAGGGTTAGCTTGGGATCACTTGTGGTCCTAGGTCCCGTGTCCCCGTCTCGGGGGTAGCTCGGGGTGTGACATAACTCATCTTGTGATGAAAGTTATGGTCATTTGAAGTTGACCCAAAACTTAAAAACTGACTAAAGTTTAAGGTGTTACAACAAAATCTCGTTATTTATGAAAACATATTCATCAAAAAAAGACACAAACCTCCTTTTGTTTCTTTTTCTTTTTAAAACATTGCTTATAGCAAAATTCATATAGCTGGAAAAAATACGTGAAATATAATATAGTGCATTGAAATGATTAGAGAAAAATAGATAAGGCATAAATTGGGCTCTTTTTGGAATAAATATTTAAATGGTGAGGAGAACTTAGAATTTTGACATGGTATCCTATTAATAATATAAGTAGCATAAACTAGAGCTTTAGGCAAAAATGATGCAAAGGCTAGTTCTTGGAAAGTAAGCAACAAATGACATTATTGAGGTGGTGATGTTTGTGCTCAACATGACCATTTTATGTTGGGAGAGTATATGGGTAATAAAATTGGTGAATAATTCTCTTATCATGGAATATGAACATAAATTGAGTATTATCGTAATCTTTACCCCCTTTCGATTGGAAATATGAGAAAGATGAATCAAAGACATTAAATATCATATTATAAAATTTAATAAATTTGCCAAAAGTTTCAGATGTTGAATCAAGCGACTAATGTCATTAGTATTTTTAGATGTACTAAAGACAACAACTAGTTGTTGAGAATCATTGTCACGACTCGAGACTATCCCTAATCGTGACAAGGTGCTTTGAGCCACAAATGACACCAAGTAAACCTTGTGGACTAGCATGACACTAAGATAAGAAAATATCAATAGACGAATATCTGAGTACACATAGCTAAATTAATCTGACTTGTCTAAAAATCTCTACTAATATGAGTTGCTAGGACAAACCCCTAGCTAACTCCAATTGTCTGAAACTGAAAGTATGACTGAAAGGAAATATAATTGTTGTCCTCAGAAAGATGAGGACTCACCAACTCGGTTGCCGCTCACGGGAGATAGTATTAATTAACTGCAAACTAGATATTGAGTGTCAGAACCTATATTATTAAACAATATTGCAAGAAAGTACGCAACTAGTACTTTGAATATATTGAGTATGTAAGATAATGCATGATAAATGTAATAACTAAGCATGATGAATCTATAAGACATGCTAGCGCAATGACCAAGTAAAATAACACAGAACTAAGATGTACATAATGAAAATACATAAATACATGGTCATGCAATAACTAAAAGACTAACGGTAGGAGATACTAAAATCGACATATAAGCTTGTAAGCTACTACATGGAGTTTGATGTATAATCCCCTCAAAAGGGTCAAATGTAGTTTGCCATGAAAAATCAAAATAAAGACAATAGAATGAGATAGTGCATGAACGTAGAGCAATTGAATCAACACAAAGCTTGAAGATTGCGATGAAATGCAACTAAAGGACATAAAGAATCTTAGATCAAACATTTTAGCTAAACAAATCAACAATTAACTTAGACTCTGGAGCCGAAAATGTGTTGAAATAATTTATGATTATGAAGATTACATAATCACAGAGATTTTAATTTTAGGGTAGTTTTGTGATAAGAAAAAAGAATCATTAGAGTCGTTTAGTAGAAAACATTTAAGGAGAAGAGACAGTGTTTTGGTGGAATAACCCAACACACTAGGTAATGCATTTATAATACAATCACAATAATATTGCAATACAAAAAATGAAAATGTATTAGATACAAGGATATATTTATATATAACAATCAAATATGACTTTATTATAGTAAATGTTTATTATCATGTTAATCTATTAGCCATATATTTCTTAACAAGGGGTAAGGTTTATAAATCATGTGTATCTACTCCACTCTTTGCATGTTCTATTTCTTTCATAGTAAGTAATTGGTTTTAAGGCAAATAAGGAATTTTCCGAATTTAGATCTTATACTTATACAACATTAATCACACAAAATTTTACCAAACTCCAGTAAGAAAGGACAAACTCGTACACATGAATTGCATTGTTTTCAACTCTTAAGCATTAGGCCCATTCAACTATAAACCATAAAATTATGACAAATCCTACTTTTAAATCTCAATTCAAGCTAATTTAAAAGTACCTTACTCCTCCTTATCGGAAGGCTGAGGAGAACAGGGTAGAACAGATGTTTGAGCTTTCTTTTCCACCGTGTGTTTTTTTTTGAACTCTGGAGAGGCCCAATACTCATTCAATTTTTTCCATATATCTTCACGAATCCATGATGGCCTCTTATCATGTTTTCGGGCATACCAAAGCAAATCACTCAACCTACGAGAACATTTTCGGAAAAAAATTTCTCGTATCTTTGCCTCATGGTCGAGAGACCATGCACACTTCATCTGCATATAATTGAATTTTTAGATTGAATAAATGTCCAATATAAGAAGTGTTTCTCTTTAAACAATATATACATCACAAATATATATGTCCTGCATCTAGATTGATTAACTTGTTTGAGACCAAGGAGTTATTAAACAGTTCAAGTAGATAATTAATTTATTTTTACCTTGAATTCAGCAAACATTCTCTCTCTAATGTTCAACGGAACCTCTTTCCAGTACCTCCATGGTTCGTTATAAACCGAACACATTGATTCAACCATAGCCTTCGCGGACTGAATAGAAGGATAAAACCTGCATTATATTTAAAATTGTGATGATAGAGAAGCTACTGCAAAATGAAAACAAATGAATAGAAGGATAAAACTAGTATCTTTTTAAATAATTTTAAAACTAGCATGTTTGCTGAATGTGATATTTATTGTTTTGCAAACTATATTATTGGTTGTATAATCTAATAGAATAATACTTTGACTGATCTTACTTCTAAATATGATCAAACATCAAAATATAATAATCTAGCAAAAGTAGTATATAGTTCACTTCTCATTTGACATAAGGCTCAACTTGTTAACAGAACTATTAAAAAGATTACATGAATACTTACCCCAATCCATCGGGAATAATAATCAATCTCTGGAGTTCATCATTCTTTTCAACATTTGGAGGATCTTTCCACTGTGCAGAAGCTTTTGTAGGAGGTTGTGTAGCTGGTGGACGACTGTTACCTCCAAGAGCCATCTAAAAAATAAGAATAAGAAAAAATAGCAGATTAATCCAATGAATCGATGTCGAAGTCCTGTTAGCTCCAGCAAATAGAGCACTGATAAAATATTAATACAACAGATATTGTTTAATGATGAGGAATTTGTAATTAGAATCAAGAGATGTTGCTGCTAAAGGAGCCTTCAAGTCGAAAAATTATGAAATGGTTCTGGCCTCATTTGTTTACACTTAATGGAGGTCTAAATCTTAATCATTCAAATCAATCCATTAAGTGCATTTGTTCTTAAGGTTTAAATCTGAATGATTAAGACTCTGCCCATTAAGTGCATTTGTTTCTTTCCTTTTAAACCTCTTAATGGGTCTAAACAAATATGAACGAATCAGATCTATAAAAGAGTCTTATAACTATTCAGAGACTCGTTATTTTCATGCCACTTACTTTTCTTCTCAACCACATACCATTTTTTTTTCTCTCCTCTTCAGCTGCTACTGTGTTTTATGCTATCCCATTTACGATTTTAAAGAAAACAGCTTTACCTTCTGATATGTGTGAAGTCAATATAAATCTCTCTTTGCAAACTCATTGATGACTAAAATAAATAGTTTGAGCATAAGGGTGCCTCTATATATGTAATCAATCTCATGAAAAATGAGTATTTTTTCCTTACTTATTGGTTTTATTTGTCAACTAATCCATGTTTACGGAGTTCAAACATATGTGAATATAACAAAAAATGGTTAAAAACTTATCAGGGACCAAGAACGCAGAGAATCTCTTACTTATATACTTACACACAAGAAATTACAGTCGACAAAGCCAACTTTAGCCTTTAAGTCACTTGGAGATTATGATGGACATCAGCTTAATTTTTTAAAGAATTCATGTTATTTTGTCGTGGTATACTCTTATATTAATATATAAGTTTTATTTGTATTTTAGTTAATAAAACTTTTATATAAAATATAGTTTTTTCGGATATTATTTTCTATCAAAAAAAAATATTTTGCTAAAATGAGATTTTATAATATTTTATTGATACAGTGTAATTTCATATGAACATTTAGATACTGAAAACAAACAAACTTAATCATTTGGTGTTCATATCCATAGACTATCTTAATATTCAGATAAGCATTCAAATTCTTACATCTAGATCTTAATTCATATTGTTAGCCAAAGATAGGTTTTGATGAGTGCCAGATTTAAGGAACGAGCTCCACAATCATGATCGCAGAAGACCAAATCCCAACTGGAAATAGAGAGAAAGAATATTGTTGAGGCGGTGGAAATAATAGAGTGCTCCTAGTCCCATGAGGAAAAGGAACCACTACAAGTATTCCAAGTCTCACGAGGAAAAGAAATCATTACAAGTTTGCTGATGTAGAGTTGAAGTAGGAAGGGACTCTTGTTCTATAAATAGAGCAAGGTTTTCTCCAAAGAAAGTTGTGCACTTACACAGAGAGATACGAGTAAAACATAGTCTTATTGTGAGGGAGTTCAAATTGAAGTTTTGTTGAAGTGTTGCGAAGAACATAATTGAAGAATTCTATTCTATTTAGTTTAAGTCTTTTGTTAAAGTTGTCGTAATTTATTTGCTATGAAATATAGTGTTGTTGGATCTTTGAGTTGGGGGCAACTTGAAGATCTGGGACATAAACTTTTGGGAGTTTGTGTTTTATGTCTAGGAATTAGAGTTTATAATTTCTTAGGTTACATTGGTTTGTAATTATTTGTAGTTTGAAGTTTTATTGAGTTAATAAAAGTTTGAAAGTGAAACTGTTGGGCAATTACAAACGTACTTACTTTGAACTACTAAACATTCTAAGGATCAGATAACCCATAAAACATCCTTAGAAGAATTATGGAGGTCATGATTCCAACACACATCTTAATATTCAGTCAGATTCATAATTCTTAATCTTAATGAAAAATAAATGAGTCCCTGTACATAATTAATCTTCTTAACTATCCAAAGTAGGTGCAGAAAGTATAAACTTATGGTTTATTGTAATACCTTTTGTCGTTTTTCTTGTGATGGACTTTGCACAATATCATTTTGTTGAAGGGAGGTCTGGACCTCTTTCTTAGCAAGCTGAAGACACGTTATCTTTAGTGTATGCAGGTTACTTAAGTATACATAGAGCAAAATATGATGAAAAATACACTTACTTCCGAAGTTGATATATGAACACGTTTAGATCCAGAAGATACACCAATCCCAGCATTGTCATCCATGTTATCTATAGTTGCTCCAGGTTTTGAAGCTTCCTCTATATGAAGTTCAACATTTAGGAATTAGATTTATGTTACATAGGCATTTATAGAAAAAATTGAATGACACTTTAAAAAGTAATGTTTTGAAAACTATCTAAAAAATCATTCTAATGTATAAGCAAAAACTGTTTTGATAAAAAAAAAGGAAAAAACAAATCATGTACAAAAACGGACACAATACTTGCTGATATTAAATTAAGATACGCCTCTACTACATCTACATCCCCCCCCCCCCCATTTACTAACATAACCATCCAAAAAATAAAAGTAGAAATTAATATAACTCTATAAGAGTAATTTCTAATTAATTACCATTGAGTATCGTCTTCTCAGCAAAGTCGTATAGATCCTTTTTCTTTTTTGTGTTATTGTCTTCATCGGATTTTTTGTTCAGCATTAGATTTTCTCCCCTTTTCCCTTCATTTTCTACATCGAATTTTTGGTTTTGCACCATTCTCACGGGGGATTTCCTTCCCTTTTCAATTTTCATTCCAAAGATCTGTGGAATCAAACAAAAGACAAGATCAATCTAGGTATAAATTTAAATTCAAGAATTCACGTTTTCATAAAAGTAAAATATTTCCTCTAAAGTACTAATGGATTTAAAGTTGATAAGCAAAGTCTTAAAATAGGAACAAACAATTCAATTAATTAGGAGCATAACTACTATGTGAGGCTTTCTCCTTATAATAATAATAAAAAAAAAAAAAAAAAAAAAAAGTTAGAACATATTATGTATGAAATTCCTTTACCAATTCAAGAAAACAAGGAAAAAGAATAAATGGACTTGTTTTTATTTTTAGAAAAATTGAATAGGATAACAGTTTTATTTCCCAGTACAAGTACAAATTAGTGGGAGAAAAAATCTTTTTTCAATTATAGTTGTTTTTCCTATGCCATACTTAGATTAAGCATTACAACTATGAAAATATCCCAGAAAACATTAAACCTAGCTATCAGGTCATTAATTCAAAATCTAGTGAATGTAACAAAAGTTAATTCCACTATGAAGGCAAGGAATATGTGTTTGTGAGGAGTTTTGGGCATCTCTGATCTATAGGCTAAACTTAGGTAGGTTACATCCATATGATATATTAATGAACAAAACACATCATTTTACTATCCAAAAAGTTACAATATTCATCCGTCAGTTAGTTCAAGGAACTAACATCTATAGTCAAAACATAATTATTATTTTTTCAGAGATCTTTCTGTTATGTCCTTTTCAGTGATGCATATTCTACAAAAAATCTTGAGTTATCCAACATCCTCCCCCAGTTGTACTAAAACCCAAATAAAAACTAATGAATCTTTTTCTTCATTGTTTCTCTTCTTGTTCGTGGAACTAGCTAGCTTGTTTTCTTCAATTTGTGAAGGATTTGGAAAACAACTGATAAATAGAATGGATTAGGTGAAGTCGATGTTGAATTTTATCTTACTACCAGCAAGTATGGTGATGTTAGCATGTGCACGATCAAATTCTTTTCATGAAAATATGAAAATTATTTTAGGACGAACTTTCCTTGGTGACGATATAAGGATGGAGTTGTTAGTATCACTAGAACCTCTTTTAGAATTGCAGAGATAATTCAAAACTTTAAGCAAAGTTTACACTACCTTTTCAGAATTATGATTTTGTATACTCATCAATTGAAAACTTGTTCGTTGAATTTTAATCTCTGTTGAACAAATAGTTTGATAAATTTATTTAGCAAATATATCATAATTATAAATCCTCCAACATCTAGGAATTGAAGAAGCACAATTTTTCCAAACCGACGGGATTGTTTCAAATAAATATCACTATTCAAATTTCAAGTCTTAGGATTCTCCATGTTTTGAGAGAAGGGATGAGAAGGTTGGTTGATATATAATTCATCAAGCTAAGAATTGTTGGTGATTTAAAAATGGGGCAGCAAAAAAGAATTGATTGAAATTATACTCTCAATAATTTTATTAAGCATAGAAGGGATTTAAATAGCCAATTTGAGCACATAAAATTTGCAATTCAATTTTTTTTTTTTAAAAACTAGAATTTCTCTACAACTAAAGCAACCTATCAGAAATTTAAATTTCAAATTTATCCTAAACCTAGACAAATTATTTTATTAATAATTATTGCAGTAAGTAAAGTAAAATGCAACACTTCTCCTTTGCTTTAGTTACTGCAATTGAAAAAATACCCCTCTTCAATTTTTGCTTTGACAGTTGTTGAATTCTTTTTATTGTTACTCAACTTTAAAAATTTCTTCTTTTTCTTCTTTTAGCCTTGTACTTAAAAAACGCCATCAATAACCTTGTTGTGTCTAAAATCTCTTTTTAAAGTGTTTTACTTTGACCTTTTATAGGATTTACAAAATGTTGTTGTAACGATTTTTTAACCATCACATATCACATAAGTTTCAAAATATGATTTTATTCTCACCGACCAAATTTGATTGTTATCGCTTGTTCAAAAAGAGACTTATGTTTGCCATTTTTTAAAGTTAAAAAGTGGTTGAAAATAGCTTGTGCGTTGAAAAAAGCATGGGCTAAAAATAGGGTTAAAATGGGCTGAAAAATAGCTCTTTTGGGTTAAAAGTAGCCCTGATGGGTTAAAATGGATAGCCCTTACTAGTTAAAAATGATATGATAGTTCTTTGGAAGAACTCACAGATCCCATAAGATCAATAAAGTTCTTGATACCATTGTTGGTGTTTTTAAAAATGGGGGAGCAAAAAAATTGATTGAAATACTCTCAATAATGTTATTAAGCATAGGAGGGGTTTAAATATCCAATTTGACCAAACAGTATGCAGAAAATCTACAATTCAAAATTCAAAAAACCTAGAATTTCTCAACAACTAAAACAACCTAATAAAAATCAAATTTATCTTAAACCTAGACAATTTATTATATTAAAAATTACTGCAGTAAACTAAAGTAAAATTCAACAAGAATACTTGGATAAATTAGCTTGAATTGGTCAGATGAATGTAGACCTAAGAGTTAAAACAATAATAAGTGTTGAAAGGTAAAAGAAATTTCGAAACATTTAATAGACATTACTCTAAAGAAATGAAATCTAAGCATTCTCAATTTGTCCATAGGACAAAATTTAATAAGGAGAAATCGAAGTGTCCTATCATGTTATCCTTTCATCATTAGATGATTTATAGTGCAACTTTTTATATCTTTATTTGTATTTATTAGAATATATTTTCTTGTTAAGTTAAAATTAATCAACTAATGGAAGGTAAAAAAAATTTATGAATGGTAAAATGACCCTTCAAATTTTCAAGAATATTTTCTTTTTTCAACTTTAAATTTGGGGCTACCAAATTTTTGTATAGTATGATGATTATTAAGATAAGATTGTTTCAATTCGTACATATATCAAGAGAGTTTTGCCCTATTATCAAATGAGAGATTAAAGAAACAAATGAAAAATGATTTCAAATTCATGATAGGAGAAATAAACAATCATTTTTCTAAAGCAGTAACACTTGCTAGGTCAAAGTATAGAAGAAAAAGTGAATAAATAGGCAGAAATATTTTTTAAAAATTGAAAGTATCAAACTCACCATGACATAATCACTGTCTTTCATTGTAAGAGCAAATTGAGACTGAATTCAATGTATCTCTCTTCTCAACCTGAATTAAATGAATGAACAACAGTTTAGGATTGGCTAATAGAATGCTATAAAACTCCAAAAAATTTCAGAAAAAAATCAAGAAAAATCTATGCTTTATCAAAACATGAATGAATTTTACATAAAAATATTCGTCACGAAACAACACAACAAAAGAGAAGAAACAAGAAAAAAAAATAGAATGTGGAAGTATGAAAACTCACTTTCTTTGTAATTTTGCTGAAGAATTTGGTGATTTTTGGGCAATATATATATACTTTGAATCTGGTGTTTTTTGTAATCTACTTTGGATTTTGAGTTCTGCTTCTAGAAAGTCTTGATTATTGAGAAATAGAGTACACATTTTTGTTTGAAGATTTATATTTTTTCCCTTTTTAGTTTCATTCTTTATTTATTAACAAAATCTAATTTGAATCCTTACTATAAATGAATAATTATACATAATTTATAGTTACTTGATATCGGTCTTTTTGATCACTTTACTTATGAATATACATAATTCTTTAATTTCTTTATATTTAGGGTGATATACTTTTAAGAATAATTCAAATATAATACATTTCTTATATAAAGAAACCAAATCAAACATGTTAATTGATTCAGAATAGAATATATCGTGTCACATACATCAAAGACGGTTGAAAATCTTGCAGAAAATACCTTTTCTACGGGTACTTGTATGAAATTTACAAAAGCTTGAGGCGTGTCAAACACTATTCTTAAGAATATTTAACCCAGTATAGGTGTATCCCCCAGGATTCAATAAGCTCTTCTAGAAGAAATTAGGAGCCAGAAACTAACAAAGATAGACAAAAGAAATTAGGAGAGATTTTATATATATAAAGAATTGATTTATAAAAGACTAAATGAAATGTCTAGAAGTCTAGTAGGAAATTAAAGAATTGCTACCTGCATTGCCAATGGAAAACAACACAAGGAGAAAGAGAACTTTAAACAAATGTTCCCATCTTTAATTTTTTTTTTATCTTCTACAGAAAATTTCTGAAAATGAGAAGCATCATGGTCTCTATAAAATAATAATAATAATAAGAAGAAGAAGGTAGTTTATAAAGTAAATATAGGACATATGTTTTCTCGTAATTTTTCGTAAAAGGTCAATTAAACAATCAACCCATAATAGACTTTCTACCATGCAATTAATTCATTTTGCCCTTTTGTGTGTAGAATAATTTTTTTTTTTTCATTTTACATATACTAACAACTGCATTTATATTATAAATTAAATGGAGATGAGATGAAAATAAATATATGAAGATATGGCTCAAGGAGTTAGAAAAGTTGTCTATGGTTCAGTCAAACCTAATTAATCTAGTCAAAATCTTATTTATATAAACAAATTCATCAATTAAAGAAATATTATTAAATTTTAAATTTTAAATTTTAAAAGAATCAATTTCTTTGACTTTTAACTAATATTAATAGTTTATTTATATTTTGCCAAGGTGAAATTTTTTATCCATGTGAAATGTCATGTGACCGTTTTTTTTAAAATAAAAAAGAGATTAGTTTATTACAACCACTGAGGTGTTTCTCTAACTAATATGTGATAGTTTAGGTATGAAATAGCATTCCATTAGTTTAGGTATGAAACTCAAAAAAGGGATAATTTTTTATATGCAGGAAAATAATTTTCAAAAAGAATAATTCAACTTTTTCATATTCGATAGGTCAGAATGCCACCAACATGGATTATAGTGCAATTGTGAGACTGTTCTATCCTTAACTAAAGGTCTCGAGTTCAAGCACTGGGTATGGAGAAAATCTTGTTGGGAGCATCACACCTGAATGGCCCCTACAGTTCTCCAATGTAGGCTCCGGACACCAAGTGAGAAACCTAAAAAAAAGGATTGGTAAGAA